ATTGTAGGAATTTATACCAGATTATGATTAAAGATCTTTAATTTAAGTCTAATTTGTTTAAAATGTTTAGAAGTTTCCAGAAATATTATCTAAAAAAAATCCTCATCACTTTTTGACAAAAACTATGCAAAAAGTTGAATTACAAAATTTCAGCAAATTATTTAGTACATATACTCTTAAATATACTTGAGTGTACGTGCAAGGAAAAATTCAGGAATTGGTTCTATAATGGAGACAAAAATGAGTAAATAATTTAAGAGATCTGCATAATTTAAAAGAGTCGCCCCAATTTTCCAAATTATAGGCACGCAAGACAAAATTACTGTTTGGACAAAAATTAGTAAAAAGTCGATATTCTAACTTTTTTTGACAAGGTCAATTCTATAAATTACTTTTTTTCATTTATAGGGATAATAAAATGAATAACTTTCTTTTTAAGTATTTTAACAATAATACTCTGTTATAGAACATAATAAATTAAATGTATTATATAATTGATTATGCAAATTTTTATTTTTGTGGATTATTGACATAATCGTTGTTATAATAATGTTTTATTTAAAAAATGAAAAATAGTTTTTTTATACTTATAGTTATAGACAAACTTTATCTAGTAGAACCAATTTAAAAGGAAATAAAAAATTATTTTTTGATTCATCCTCTACTATTTATTTATGTTTACTTTAATTGTAACTATGTCAGTGAATTGACTCCATTTTATAGAAAGAGGTCAATGATCTGTCATAAAGAAATTTTTATATTCATTGACGAGTTAAAACTAAAAGCCTCGAAAATAATACGTCAGATCTTATCGAGAAGTCTTAAATTAGCACCTTTGACGATCGCTAATGCTTTAGGAAATCTAAATGACAGCCTCTTGGAAAATATCATAAGTATTTGCATCTGGAAAGCACTAGTTAAGTGGATGTCTATCTAAAATCATTTATTAACAAACAGTAAAGAAATATATCGCAATGTGTTCTGAAAACAGTATAAATTTTTTAAAAATATTTCTTGATTATAGAATATGTAACTTGTTTTTAAATAAATAAAACACTTTTCTGGATCTAAATTTTTAAAAAGATTACACAGAACCACAAAAGAAAGTTTTTTTGTTCAGTGAACCAGACTAGACATTTCTTACGTATTTTAAGTCGTTGAATCCGAATAGAAGGTCAGAATAAAAAAGTTCATTTGTTTCTTTTATTTCTAACCTTAAAAAACATACTTTTCTAGTACATTTTGTATAATGTAATAAAGAAACGTGAGCTAGATATTAGCCATATTGTATCCGCCATTTTGAATTTTTGAAAACTGTTACCAGATTCGTAGTCAACGACCCCATGTTGGCTTGGAATACAATTCTATTATAGTATTTTAGATGTACAAGTTTAAAAAGAAGTTTTTTGATAAACAAAAATAATTTAGGGGGTCGATTATGTAATTCCATTTGCACATCCACATCCATTTTCACTTCCACTTTTTCTCATTTCCACTCCCAATTCCATTACCATATCCACTTTTTCTAATTTTCATTCCCATTTGCATTTTCACTTCCACTTTTTCCAACTTTCATTCCCACTTCTATTTCCACTTTTCTAATTTTCATTCCCACTTCTATTTCCACTTTTCTAATTTTCATTTCCACTATCACTTCCACTTCCACTTTCTCTCATTTCCACATCCTTTTTTTCTAATTTCCACTCCCACTTCCATTTTCACTTTTTCTAAATATTATTCACTCTTCCATTTCCACCTTTTCTAATTATTATTCCCACTTCCATTTCCACATTTTCTCATTTTAACTCCCACTTTCATTTCCACTTTTTATAATTTTCATTCTAACTTCCACTTTTTCTCATTTCTCATCTCACTTCCAATTGTAAGTGGAAATGAAAATGGGAATGAAAATGAGAAAAAGTGGAAATGGAAATAAAAGTGGTAATAAAAATTAGAAGAAGTGGAAATGGAATTACTTAATCGACCTTCAGGAAAGAATCCAATAAACAACAGTTTTGTGGATATTTTTTAAAAATTCTTTTATTTTATGTAAAATTTTAATATCATGAATATGCCTATCAAATTTTATTGAATTTTCGATAAAACCTTTTCAAGTTGTAATATGTTCTCATAAAAGCGTGGCACACACACACACACACACACATACCAACATGCCCACCCGGATATTTGATCAGGAACTCATATGACACATTTTTATTTCTATAGAGAAAAAGTTTGTTTGACGCATTTAAAAAAATATATACGTAAATCATAGTTCTAAAAAGGCTTTCTCTTAAACTTTAGACATTGTTATTTTCTGTCCTAGAAAATCTTGATGTCCTTCATTGTAATTTCAATGTAAGTCTAATGAATAGAGGTCCATTGAATAATAGTTTGCATATACTTTTGAAAGAAAAAATAATACTTTTCACATTATAAGAACAATTTCCTAAATACAAAAGATTTTTAATTAATTAATTGAAAAAAATTTTTAATCTAAAAAGTTTCTCAAAAAAAAAGATTGTTATTTCATACGCAAGCATTTAAACAGTTCAAATGAAATTATTAAATTTATATAGAGATGGACTATTTACAAATTTTTTTAAATAAAAAAAATTGTGTGAAATGTCATATGTTTTCCAGTGAAACATTCAATTTTCGAAACCAAGAAAAAATACAAAATGAAAAGGGAGAAACAGGTCATTATTGGTCACTGGTTGCTTAATTGGTTTACGTAACATTTTCCCTCTCATCAATTCCAGTTGGATATATGATACGATAATGGTTACTCTTCAACGGAAAATGAGTGATAATAAAATCGTCCCTTTAATAATAGTCAGTCTTTGTTACAAAGTATTAATAAATATAAGTTTTTGTCTTTGATTACTATTCTTTTATATGTTTATACCATTAAAACCAGACAGATTTCGGAAAAAGAAAAATTATTCTTTCTTCTCTAAGTTCATTATATAGATTTTTCGTAATTCTGAAAAAATTCCTTTTTATACACTGAGAAAATGTTTTGTATAAAGTTTACTCAAAAAGTTGGGTAAAATGTCTACACATGCGCTTTTGAACAAAGTTTCACCAACTGTAGTTCAAAATAAATTTTTAGTAGGTGAAAATAAAATTGAAGAATTTTTAAAATAAACTTCATAAAATTTCAGCAACATTTTGAAAAGAATATAAAACTGTGAGTTAATTATCAAACCACATTTGAATAAAATGTAGTCTAAAAATGTGGGAGAACGTATTCAACACATTGCAGAATTTCACCTTTTCAAGCTTAAATTTCAGTCAAGAGTTGGGTAAAATGTGAACTTTAAAATATTATTGGTGGGGGGATACGGGCAAAAAATCATTCTTACTTATCGACAGTTGGTTCTAGCATTCATTCCTGTATTATCTACACTATAAAAACTGTCAAAAAAATTATTTTTCATTGTCGATGGTTGATTTTCATACTTAGCACGAATTTCTGCAGTACATACACATTTTTATATACTCATTACCGCTTTTTCACTCACACACCTTATAATACGCACAATACACATAATACGCTTACATATAACCTAACCTAACCTAACCTAACCTAACCTAACCTAACCTAACACACATACAACGCAATACTAATTTCGCTCGCAGTTACATTGAACGGAATGATTTGAACTGTTCTTGTATATCAAGTGGCAGACAAATTCACAACTTGTGAGAAACGCTTGTAAAGTGAATAAATGATTTGTTTTACTTTTATAATTATATTATTGACTCTTAATAGAATAAAATATATTGCGGTCAATTAATTATGGTTTAGAAATTAAAAATTTCATTCAAGTTTTTAATTTAAAATAAAAAAAAATATGAAGAAAATATTAATCTATTTAAACAAACAGTATAAAAATAAAGTTAAAAATTATTTGGCAGAAGAAATAGGAATTTATTTTATATTGTAATAAATAACTAAATAGAATATAAATTATATTGAAATTTATAGAATAACAGATTTTTTCATGTGAATAAGACAAACATAAAAGCAAATTTTTAAAATAAATTTTTTTCAATTTTCACATGAACAATAATAAACTAGTAATGGTGGTGGGGACATACGTTTTACTCAACTTTTGAACGAACTGTGACACACGCAGACGAATAAGTACCCAAAAAAGGCATAAAGTACAACCAAAAGTAATTCAGTTTATGATCAAATACATTCTATACTTTAGTCTAACATTTGTTTTAATCTTTACACTACTGTTTGAACACACTTTAAGAAATATATTTTAATAAACATACAAGAGAATTTTAAATATTAGAAAAATGCCCATGTGTAGCCATTTTTCCCAACTTTTGACTATACTTTAAACATATCGTTTTCTCAGTGTATTAGATTTTAATTAGAAAAACTGACCAGTCTTTGAGCAGATAATCTAGCCAAAGACTTTAATTACAGAGCGTTACATCTCGTGTAGAAATTTTAATCCGGTCATCATAAGGTTTGGAAAAGGGTGCCTTATTATTATTAGGGTCAGTGTAAGGGAAACTTATGTGCACTATTACTGAGTGCCCTATGGCAGATTGTCAGTTTCCTATTAAGGGTCTGGATCCGAAAATTTATTATAGTCCTATTTATACTCTAAATATTAATTGCAATGAAAAATAATCCAAATGAAATAAAACAATAACATTATTTTGTACATTTAATCATGTCACAAGTTTTTCGATTATTTTTATTTAAAGTCTTTCAAGTTATGTGCCACGGTGAGCTTGAATCAAATTTATATAAAAAGTTCAGTAACTATAAATATTTTTGCGAATTTTAAATCTACATATTTTCAGATTTATTTTACAAGAATTCGGAGGGCTGTTTGAGAAAAACCATGTTTATTAATTATACAAAAAGCCTATTTATTAATAGAAAATATTTGCTTTTTTTAATTTCAAATGAATCAGTTAAAAGATATAAATACATCATTAAAATTTATTTTTTATAATTTTTACAGATTTACTCATTTTTTCCCAGAAACTAAGTCTGATGGTAAACCTGCCTCTATCTACAGGAATCACACTATGCGTGCGGGAAGAACCAATGAGCAAGATTCAGCTAACGTAAGTAAAATATTACTATTAGGGTGAACCATATTTTTAAAATTTTCGAATTTTTGTTATTTCTGGACAAAATTTTGTTCTAAATGTAAAAAAAAGATACGTATTTTTTTAATTTGATTTTAATAAATATTTAATGGTGTCTCAAAGCCCATGAATTTTTCTATGTAGGGGAGAGTAGTCAGGGTTGAGCCATCGCGTTTATTTTGTTTTATCACACTAGAGATACAAGCGAAAATCTGAAAATTACATAATAAGGGCTTTTTATTTCAATTTCGTGGTTCCTTTACACATTTTCAAGTGTATTTGAATGCCATTCTATCATTTGAAGGTCATTATTAATCATTTATCTGCATATCTCGTTGATTTTCTACAGTGGCTCAACCCTGACTACTATATATATGTATATTGACTATAACTCCGAAACTTTTGGTCAAATATTTTTACAATGTTCAGCAAAAACATTACATTTTAGTAGATCTTTCGAACCATATGCAAGAAATCTCAAAATTCAGCTTACAGGGGAAGTTATAGAGAAAAGTCAAAACTATGTCCAACCCTGACTACACTCCCCTATTTTAAATGGGAAACAAACCCTTTTTTGGGCTATAAAACCATTAGAAATCAATATTTTCCGACTGTATATTTTTATTTTTCTTCTTAAAGCTTCAAAGAATAACATGAAAAAATTTGATTACAAAATTTTTATTGTTTATTATTGTTTAACCCCTTCATTGTTTGAGGAACATACAGCATGAATGACCAAAAATGACCAGCAAAACCAGTTCAACGAATTTTCATGAAACTTATTATACAAAATGGCGGATTCAAAATGTCAGACATAATTTTTTTTTAAATTTATCAGATTTGATTGAAAACTGTTACTCGAGGGTTTTCGGGATAGCTGATTACGAATTCGACATTAGTTTTCCGAAGTTAAAAATGTCGGATCCGAAATGGTGGACACAATTTTTGTAAATTCATCGGATTTTACTAAATTTTGGTACTTAGGGGTTTTTGGAATCGTTGATTGCTAATCTGACCTCAAAATTCAAAAAGACTGATTAATCAGCGACCCCAAAAACCCCCGAGTAATAGTTTAAAATTATTAAATTTACAAAATTTAAAATACATGGAAAAATTCAAGGGCTTTGAGACACCATTAAATATTTATTTTTTTTTCCATTTAGAACAAAATTTTGGCCGGGAATGATAAAAAATTGGAAAATTTTGAAAATAAGGACCATCCTACTACATACCTTTTACTTTCCTGTAATGTTTATTTATTTATTTACAAATATACAGGTAATGCACCCTTTACAAAGTACATATGCAATTAATAGATAGAAGATAAGATAATATTATAATATACTAGTGTTGAGTGAAGTTAAATATGGAAACGAGTTAACATGTGAAACCAACCCCAAGTGAGCTCAAAGGAGAGCTGACGTTTTGGGTCAGTGCATAATTTTTGATCATCCGCGACTTTTCGAAAATGACAAAGTGGAAGAATTTTCTAAGAGAGAGCAAAATTACGTCTACGCTTCTAATTATTGACGCGAGTTCAATGCGCGTACGGTTCACGCGTTAAAAGTTATATTTGTTAGTTTAATTAAATTATTCACTTAAAGATTTTTTCGAAAGATATTTTTTAATTAATAGTTTTGAAATTATAGGTTAAAATTTCTACCACCTTAACAATTAATATTGAACGAACAAAAGAGTAACTTTTTTTATTAAACAACTTCTTATTTATAATGTGGACTGCGGGGAATGTACACTGTAAAAAATTTCGGAATTTTTTCCAATAAAATAGTAGGATATTTTTCCGAAAGTAGGTGGAAAATACGGTTTTCCGAATGTTTAATAGGAAACATATTTGAAAAAAGGAGGAAAAATACTAATTCCACAGAAAAACGGAAATTCATCTAGAATATTTGAAAAAATTTCCGAAAATGATGGATTTCTTTCCAATATAAGTGGGCAATATTTCCAAAGAAAGTAGGAAAAATGCTTTTTCCACATAAGACTGGAAATTATTTATCACTATATGGAAAAATTTCCGAAAATGGTGGATTTTTTTCCATTGTAAGTAGGAAGTACTTCCGATAAAATTGGGAAAAAGCAAAATGTGAAATTATATCTATTCTTTATATTTTTTAAGTGTTAAAAATTTTCTGGAAAAGGAGGAAACATTATTTTTCTGCTGCACAAAAAATTATTTTTCAGCTTTGCGAAGTAATTCCGAAAATAATGTAATCTTTTCAATATTTCGTCGGTTGGATGCAGAAATGTGCCACTTCAGAGCAGTCTTGAAAAACGAGTCATTTCATAAAACATTTGAGAAACCTGCCATTCCAGCTGAGATTTGGAAAACATGCCAATTCAGAATTGATGTTCGTTTTTTTTTCTTTAGGTTGACACTACTAAAAGGTTATAAACTTGTACGAAAATCACTTTTCATGTTGTATTTTACATGTTTGTTATTATTGTTTGAAAAAAGAGTATTTTAATGAATTTATTAAATAAATTTGTTAATTATTCATTATTTGATTAACAATTTCTAAAATCACAAAAATATACAAAGAACAACACTCTCAATAAAATTAAAAAATATCCTAAGAAGTGTTTACAAAATAATAAATAATCTAATTAAATAATCCGTAATCCAAAATGTTTAAAAATATTATATTTTCAAAAAAAAAGTAATAACTAATAAAATTAATAAAGAATAATTATAATAGAAAAAAGTTAATTAATTATAATACAATTAAAATAAATAAAACAAAGAAATAAATAAAATAATTATTAAAAATAGTAATGAAAAAATCTTTTGTAAAAATTTATAACCATTCAATACTGCCAACCTAAAGAAAAAAAAACGAAAGTCAATTCTGAATTGGCATGTTTTCCAAATCTCAGCTGGAATGGCAGGTTTCTCAAATGTTTTTTGAAATGACTCGTTTTTCAAGACTACTCTGAAGTGACACGTTTCTGCTTCTAACCGACGATTTATCGGAAATATTTCCAAAGAAAGGTAAAAAAATGTTTTTTGTATAGCAAATTGTAAATTTTTTTCTCTTTGTAAATTTACTTATTTCACTATGATTTGTATCGATTTGTTTTATTATATGACCATAAATTACCATTGCAAAAAATATAAGTTTCGAAAAAGATTTCTTGTATGTACCTATCATAAAATTTTATTGCTAAAAAAACATACGATGGTTGAAAGATTCTTTTTCGATTTGAAAGGTTTGTCACATCTGGTTTGTCTTAGGATGACCAGCTACAAGGGTTTCTTATTACCAGAAAGCCTATTTGATGAGTTTTTCAGGTCTCGTTTTTTTCTTATAGATTTATTTAGATGAAAAGTTTTCAAAATTTTTCGTATTGAAATATACAGATGAAATGTTTGAAAATTTTTCACATTTTCGACGACATTTCCTCAGAGAGGACTTTCAGGCATCAGTTGTTTTTCAGCATTCGCAAGAGATTAACTACATATAACAACTAGTGCGAACATTTTTTTTATGCCTATAATAGTGAAAGTTACTTTTTTGTGAAGTGAAACATGCTATAGCATGTAAATCTTCTTCTTCTTTCGTCTTTGGCACACTAGGATCAAATCCACCTTCAATATTTATTTATATATAATATCCTGCAGTCCATTTGGACCATACATGGGTAACGAAAACTTAATAATGGAAAAAATTATATATTTAAAGAAAATTATTACATTGGTGGCGCAAGTACTGTTCCGTTCATTAGAATGATCAATAACTCTGTGCATATAAATCGCTATTGAAGGGTCAATAAATATCTATAGAGTGTCATTACAAAGACGTTCGCTGACGAAAAAAACAAATCAAAATTAGGATTAAGTATAGAGTACATTTCATTAATCGAAATATCTCGATGGTCGAAAAAATCGAATGTAAGAAAAAATGAACTTTGCTTTCCAGAGCATCTAAATCAATATTCATTTTATGAAAATCACCTTAAATTATTGTTCCACATATATATTTTGCATAACTTACTTAATTGTAATAAATTGGTATACACATGCAAAGCATTTATTTGTTGTAAATGATTGTAGCTGTTATGAATCAGAAACGAACATAACCTACATTTAGTTGAAATCACCTGATTGGCCCAAGACAAAATAACGCTCGCTTTTTTAAAATAATGAAATTTATTAAATTATAATAAAATAATTGTAATAAATTAAATTTTTATGAAAAAAATATTACCTTGAATAAAAAAGTGTTTGTTTAAAAAAAAATTATTCAACAATTATTATTATTTTCAGACAAATTTTATTAATACAATAGATTATTATTTTTCTTTTTGAAACTTTCTCTATAATTACATGCATTTTTGCATTTTGTTAATAATAATAGTAAATATTTAATATAATAATTGTAATAATTTATGATACATAAATTGAAAATTAAATTGAATGGACAAAGAATAGAAGGAACGGAGACGGCCAAAGGCCATCGGAGGCGCTAGTAAATAAATAAATAACTAAAATGTATTCAGTTATAAAAAACAAATATTTTTGCAGGCAAAATACAAAAATACAGTTCTTCAAGTAAATTATTATTATTATTATTATTAATTATTTTTTAAATTAATCTTGATCAATTAGATTTATTCATTTTTATAAGTAAATAATAAATAAAAATTCAGAAAAGTAATTTGCGTAGTATTTCTTAATACAAAAAGGTACTACTTTTTAATCAAAGAAGGAATAAATTTTAATCATCAATTCATGTTTATTTTCTTCGGAAAAAAGTATTTAAAATATTGTATTTTAATAAATGAATTGTAAATAAATTGTATCTATATAAACTTGAACTGATCAAAAAAATCAACAGTGTTAGTAAAATCGGTCAAGGTATTCACTTTGAAAAACATTTAGAGATAAAACCTATATGTATATGTTTAGTTTATAAACATTTTGAAGGTCAAATATTTTTAAAGCAATAAATATCGAA